CCTTGGGAATAGGTATACCAGTAAAGAATTCCTGAGTGGCACTAATAACATCCACTTTGATAATATTCCAGCAGGATCTGAAGAATGTTCCATTGAAGCCATCTGGTCCTGGAGCACTTCCTGGATCAAGGGACCACACTGCAGCTTTTATTTCCTCTTCAAAAGGTAATTTGCATATTCTCTGATTATCTTCATATGATATAACTTCCTCTAAGTATTCCATCAAAGGCTCTATATGAATGGATTGGGTTTTGCTGAATGCATTTGAAAAGTGTTCAACAGCTTTTTTGCTTATGTTTTCCAAGTCTCTGTCCTCTTTTCCATCTTGATCACAAATGCTCCTAATTTTAGCTTTTGCCCTTCTGCCTTTAACATAAGCATGAAAGAACTTAGAGTTGCAATCCCCCTCAGTAATCCATTTCAGATTGGCCTTTTGTTTCCAAAAGAGTAATTCTATATTGGTAGCTTGAATGAGATGAGCCCTAGCTTTGTTGTCTGCTTCCCTGTGAATAGGAGAAGGATCCTGCTCATATGCTTATTGGGCTAGTATAGCTTGATCTTCAGCCTCCTTAAGATTGGAAAAAATGTTGCCAAAAGTGCTATTATTCCATTCTTTAAGAACAGCCTTAAGCCCCCTGAGTTTGTTGCTCACACCAGCCATACCTCCATATTGGTGTGAGCTGCTCCAATAATCAGATACCACTTTAATGAAGGATGGGTGATTAGTCCATGCATCTATGAATCTGAATGGTTTAGGACTCCTATTATTTTCCTTGGAGCATGATAGGAGTAAAGGCTTATGATCAGAAGTTGCCCATGTGTTCACTCCAATCAGCAATAATATTGAAATCCCCCCCAACAATCCACTTGTTGTTGGTTTGGAGTGTTTGAAGCCTGTTCCAAAGACTCCTTCTTTCTCTACCACTATGTTTACCATAGACTGTTGTGATCCTTATTTCATCTTTTGTCCCTGTATCATTAAAGTCACAGTTTACCAGCTGCTCTTCTTCACTTATATTTTGTAACTGGAGGGTTTCCTCATTCCAGAAAATCCAAATTTTGTTGTGAATAGAGGCTACTCCATTGCTGAATCCCAATTGCAATTTGTAAAAGCCTATTTTGTCAGCTGCAACAATAGGTTCAATGATAGCCAGGAAACAAAAATTATAATTTCTTTTGTAAATTTTGATCCTTTTGAGAGAGGACCTAACTCCACAAACATTCCAGAAAAGCACAATCATTAAAGACATATATATTGGAAGTCTTTATGCCCTTTATTGCTTCTAGTAATCATAGTGGTTAACTGACCCTTCTTCTTTCCACTATTTTGTTTGGGGACCTTAATGTGTGTGCTTTTTGGAACAGGGGATGGGAAGGCCCTGGGAGATAAGTTTGAATTATCAATGACCTCCTTGCTTTGATCTCCATCAGGGTGATAGCCATAGTTTCTAGTTTCCACCTCCTCTTCCTCCTGAGTTTGGTGTATTTCTTGAAGGAGCATTGCCAGGCCCTTATCAGGAGAGTGGTTATGCAGGCAGTCATCCAGGGAGCCTTTGAAGGTATGTTTCCTTGTGTCTGCCATAACCTCTGGATTTATCTTTCTCACTTGGCATTGTCTGGATTTGAGGGCATATTCTTTTGCTTCTTTGAGTGTGGGAAAGTGATCGTGGTCATTAGGATAAAAGGGGCCCTCCATAAGCTGTGTGATGGGTGATTGTGCTGCATCTGTTACCTCAAAAAGTGGGGTATTTTCTTCACTGGGCAGTAGGTCCAATAAATTAAAATTATTGGCCCCAGGAATAATACTAGCTCTCCTTTTCCATTCAAATTTTTTGGGTCCCTCCTTGAAGTTATCAGTCTTTAGAAAGTGGACATTTCTCTTTGTCTTCTTGTTTTTGACCTCCTTCCACTCATATTCTTTCACAGTTTTGATGCCCTCCTTCCCCTTCCCGGAGGGAACTTTTCCGGTGGGGAAAGAGTCTATGCCTGAGCAATTCCTTCCTATCTTGTGTCCCAATACTTTACATTGAGAACAAAATGAAGGCATATATTCATAGCTGCATTTTATAACCAGATTCTGCCCTCCCAGTCTTAAATGGATTTTTGTTGGAGGAGGCAAAGATACATCCAGTTCAATACATACCCTGGCCCCCTCCCTTCTATCTCTATTTATAGTGTAATCATCTACTTAAACAGGTTTTCCAATCAGGGAGCTTATGGTGTACAGAGCTTGGAAATCAATGAGGTGTAGAGGCAGTTTATCAAAAGTAACCCAGACTCGAAAGAATGGACTGTCTTCATAGCTTTTGTAGTCACGGGTGCATTTGAAAACGTAGAAGGATGAGTTGTAAACATACCATTTTTGTTTATGAAGGAAGCGAAGATAGTCTTCTTCCTCTCTGAATGTAAAAAGGACATCTCTCTGGCTAATTCTTCTGATTTTGAACCAACGAAAATTCATCTTTGTAAGCAATTGTTTGAGGTGTGATAGATGTACTTCTTCTCTAAATCTTCCAACTGCTGAGAAGTGCAGTTTGCCTTCCAGTATATCTTCTTCCTCAGTTGTGAAACTCACTGATGGCATATTATTGTAGAAACCTTCTACCTTGCCAACTGGATTTAACTTTGTTTTTTGGAAAAGATCTCTAAATGATTTGATGAAAGGCTTTTGTTTGACATTTTTGGGTGTTGATGGTTCAGGATTTCTGTTAATAACTTTGCTCGCCGGGAAGTATTCCGGCGTAGTCACCGGAATTCTCTCCCTTCTCTCTAGAACCATTTTTATATATATATTATATCATATATATATATATATATATATATATATATATATATATATATATATATATATATATATATATATATATATATATATATATATATATATATATATATATATATATATATATATGGGCTGGTTCAAGTGAGAATGCACCTTGGTGAAACAAATAAGAATAAAATCTGGCCTTTGGATCTGATGCATCATGCGGCTGAGATTGCATTCTGCACTCAAATTTTGAGATAGCATTTTCAAAGGATTATGGTGCATTTCGACATGATGCATTTTCAAACCATCTTGGTGAACCTAATTTTGATGCAATCCTAACCCTTAGATCTCCCAATCTAATGCACCAGATTCATTCTTATTTCTTTCATTAGATTGCATTCTCACCTGAACCAAAATCTATATATACATACATACATATATATATATATATATATATATATATATATATATATATATATATATATATATATATATATATATATGGGTGTGAGATGGGTTTAGAGAGAGGTTTCTTTCAGGGCGATGTTGGCCGGCGGCTTTATTAGCGGAACACTTCATCCGATGGGCTCAAGATACCAGCCTTTAATGGGAAATCTACATTTCATTCGCATAGTATTTCATCCTATAATGGACGGAGGGGGTTGGCGAAATCACAGAATCCTGTCTTCAGTATACCAGCGATTGACAGGAGATTTAGATTTCCTTTGCATCGATATTCATCTTCTAATTCTTGGAGGAGGTGGACGGAATCAAAGTTTAATCGGGGAGGGTCAGATTTTAGATCTGGTAACTATTGCTCTCATAGGCAGTCAGATCTAGGGGGTGTTCACACATCCTTGCGCCCATATCCAGCACCGGTTGAAAGTCTCAACACCAGATTCAGCTTTAGGCTTCAAACCAAGGTATTCGATCTCTTCCATTCTGGTTACAATCTCTATTTCTGCATCACTGAGAAAGGAAGAAGAACTTTTCAAATTTGGTTGATTTTTGAGGCATTTAATTGGATTTTGGACTCCCTGCCTAGGCTCTCAAGTAATAATTGTTGGGTTCTTTCAAGGTTTGAGACTAATCGAAAGCTTACAATTTCTTTTGGATCCAACAAATGGGGGGATTATATCAGAATTTTTTAGCATAGATTTGAAGGTATCTGCTCAATTTTCTTCCCTACTGATAGGAGGGATGGCATTTCTCACTTGTTCAACTGTCTATCCTCTTTCTTATCTAAGATTAAGGGCAAGAATAAGGTGGAAAATCCCATCTTGGCAGCAAACACTGGGAATAGTCATCATTCCTCATTTGCAGAAGAGGCTTCGGGATTGAATAAATCAGTTATAGGTTCTCCCAAAGATTCTAGTCAGGATGTTAATGCTTTGGTCCTTTACCCCAGGCCATATGTGACTTCGGATTCACTTCCTAAAACCTACTCTAATATCACCCCTGCAAATTTGTTTTCCTTTCCTGGAGGTTTTAGTAGTCTAATTTGGCTTCTTTTGTTTCGACATTTCTGTTCCCTTTACTCCTTGAAACCTAAGGCTAGTGATGAGAATTTTGCATTGGGTACATCTCCTGTTACAAAAGAGGACACTTCGGATTCAGTTCCTATGGATAATGCACCAAGATCTTGTTCCCAGCTTCAAACTTCTTTGGAAACAGGGTCCTTAAACTCTCTAGCTGATGTACACAGTTTTGAACCTTTACAGGTTGTTTTCCCTGAGGAGGAAGATCAAAGTCAATCAGCCCCTAGAGCATGCCTATCAGATTTAGAGATTTTTAGAAAGGACAGCCTGGAC